CCCTGGTCCTCGTGAATCGTTTTTAACGACCACATTTCTTGTTTGAAGTGCCCTTGGCTGCATGGGGGATCTCCTTTCATAGATTTGGTTTGCGATGTAGTCAGTCCTTTTGAGTTATAAACTTAAAAAAATGCACTGAGCTTGATTTATATTTTGTGTCTAATCAGACTTTTTCAAATAGAGAAATCTCAGGGCTTTCCGAATCTCTATGAGCATTTTAAAATTTGGTATTTTTATTTCAATGACCACCTAAAAGCTTATGTAGTTTTTAAGAAATTCATTTATTTGACCCTGGCTGGTGTAGCTCAGTGGATTGAGCATGGGCCTGTGAACCAAAAGATGGTGGTTCGATTCCCAGTCAGGGCACGTGCCTGGGTTGCAGGCCAGTTCCCAGCAGGGGCCAGATCCCAGCAGGGGATGCACCAGAAGCAACCATACATTGATATTTCTCTCCCTCTCTCCTTACCTTCCCTTCTAAAGATAAATAAATAAAATTAAAAAAAAAAAGAAATTCATTTATTTACTAGGTTCCATAATCTAGTTGGTTCCCTAGCATTTTCTAGTGGTGGCCAAATGACTGTTTTCTCCTTGAGTATTATTAACTCCTATGTTATGCATATTTGAAGTGTTTTAATCCATTTTAATCTGTTGATGTTCAAGTTATTTCATCTCTGGATAGAGGGAGCCTACTGAACTTAACTTCTAAGTTTAAAAGCATGTCTTGGCAATTTGGATAACTACCTTATAAACAGGCATTGCTATTCAATTTCAGTGCCTAAGTTTTGCTTGTATTTGTAGTGGTACATAGTAGTAATGCTTCAGTTGGTTTAGCCTAATATCAAATGAACAGAGGGAAAAGAATAGACCTAATAGGTAAATGATACATTTATATCAAGTTGTGAGCATCGGTCATTGCATGTTCTCTGATTACATTATTTCAGGTGTGGGAAAGGGTGGGGATGTGGACTTATCACTTGGTACCTAGTGATGTTGAAACTCGAGACTCTTGAGAATCTGCACCGGCAATCCGTACCGCACTCTTGTGCGGAGCATTGATCTAGTTTCAGCAACATAACACACTAAGTTAATGTCAAATTGAGTGTTATTAATGTGTTTTGTTTTCAGTTAATTTCAGGTTTGGTTTGCTTTTGCACCTATTTGGAAGTTATAATCCTAAAATATTTCAAAACCACTTGTATCATTTTACATCTTATCTCTTTGTTTTTGTGTTGTAAGAGTGGCCAGATTGATTTCATACATCATGATTAAATTTTCTGCAGGGTTGTGTTATTGCTCCTCTAAGTGTGTGTTTTAAGTGTTACATTTTTAGTTTTGTATTTGAGGTGAAGGACATGTTCTTGCCATGAAATGTTTAAAAAAACTTTACTGTGGGACATTTACACAATGGAATACTACTTGGCTATGAAAAAGAAGGGCATCCTACCTTTTGCCACAGCATGGAGGGACCTGGAGAACATTATGCAAGTGAGATACACCAGTCAGAGAAAGACAAGTACCATATTATTTCATTCGTATGGGGAATCTAATAAACAAGATAAGTTAACAAACAAATAGAAACAGACTCATACATACAGAGAATAGACGGACAGTTGTCAGAGGGGAGGAGTGTTGCAGGGCTGGGTGAAAAAGGTGAAGGGATTAAGCAAAAAAAAAAAACAAAACCGCAACTCTCATAGACACAGACAATAGTATGGTAATTACCAGAGGGAAAAGAGGGTAGGATGTGGTAGAGGAGGGTATGAGGAGATAAAGAGTGATAAAATAAAAAGAAAAAGAAAAAAAATCTTCATCTCATTTGTTTACTTTTCACATTTTATATTTTGGTTTTTATCATCCTGTTCATCTGTTCAGTGGCTCATGATGTACTTGTATATTTTTAAAGTTTTCAAATGAAGTTGCCAAATAGTTTCTCTTTATCTTATTTTTGAAATGATTTATTTCCAACATCTGCTATTTCTCCTGTATTTTGGGATAATATCTGTCATTTCTCTTGTTCTGCCGTGTTTTTCCACATGTCCCGTGGTGGCTTCTTTTTTCTTTTTGTTAGCAGGGATTGTGTGAGTGTGTACGTCTCTGTGTGTAAGTTTGTTCTATTCATCAGCTTTTAGTTGCAGCTGAGCATTTGTTAGCAAATAAGCCTACATAAAAAGGATGTTGGCATGCTCTTTTTCTGGCATTGGTAGATGAGATTATTTTGGATCAACTCTTAACTGATCAACCAGAGAGGCAAAAAAAAAAGTAAAGTAAAAAAATAGCATTATGAACCTATCAGAGACCAACCAAAACAGTGAGGAATTTTGTGATAAAAATCTGGCATAAATGGGAGTCCAGAAGAACGAAGCCTTGCACTTGGAACTCTTTTCCTCCATTGGGGCAGTAGCTGATTCCAGAAGAAGGTAGAAGCAGAGAGGCTAAGATCAGAGCGATCAATAGACCCAAAAGGCAAGGAAGATCAGAACTGGAGTTCAGGAACCCTCCAGCTTTCACCAGAGACCCAGATGGTGGCTCACTAGGAGAAATGGTGAACTGAAAATAAGAGAAGTGATAAATTGATAATAGACTGGCCTTCACAGGGACAGAAGTCCAGCTTTGAGTCGTCTAAATTCCTAATTGGATAAGGTGATTTGGGACTCCTAGTGACCCCAGCCTGACTTTCTGCCAGTAGCAAAACCAAGATCTTTCCTTCAGGAAGATGTCATCATCCAGAGCTTTAAATGATCTCTACAATTTTTTATGTATTACATCTATCACCTGATAAAAAATACCCAGCCATAAAAAATTAGGTGACTGAAAACCAAGGGAAACCACAGACAGTACCAGGACACTTGGGACTATAAAATAACTATGATGAATCTGTTCAAGAAATTAAAAGACAGATTGAGAGTTTTGACCAAGAATTAGAAAGTGTAAGAAAGAACCAAAAGAAAATTACAGAAACTGAAAAATAAAACTAAACAAATCAATTAATTAAAATTCTCAACAGGCGGATTAAACATTTGGTTTTGAATGGAAAGGTTGGCCAGCATTTGTTGTCCAAAAAGAAGGATAGAATGAAAGGGTGGACACCGTGGAAGTGCATAGAAAACGTGGGGTGAAAAGCTGTGACTTAAACCGGTTGGATTTTTAGAAGGAGAGGGGAGAGAGAAGGGGCTTCGACAGTGTTTGAAAAGATAGTGGCTGAGAATGTACAGCACAAAAGATATCAGGCTGTAGGTTCAAGGATCTCTGAGTCAAAAATGGGGTAACTGCATATAAAATTATACATAATAGTCATAGCTTAGCAAAACCATTGACAATCAGAGTCAAAGAGAAAATCTTAAAAATAGCCAGAGATAAAAATGGCAGATTGCCTTCAAAAGGAACAATAATAAAAATTGACAGCTGACTGCTCCCAAAAGAATAGTGACATCAGGTTTCGCTTGTAATATGTGAATAAGAAAGATACATGTAGGAAAAGTTAATATAGCTGAGTGATTAACTTGAGTGATCTAAATTCATTTTCCATTTCTAGCCCTTTTCTCATGTTATAAAGTTTTTAACTTTAACATCGTTTAATTTTATCAGGAGCCTTTATCATAGATTACTGATATACACAATTACTGTGTTTATTGTGTAACGACCTCTGGTCTATGTAATGATAGATGTTGCCCTCCCGGCCTCATCTGTATGTTTCCCTGGATGATAGGTTGGGTCCTACAGTTGTAAACAGTCAAGCAGGTTGGTATTGTACATATTCCAAATTAGGGAAGCAGCTGGGCAGAGGGTGTAGAAATATTAGCCTTCAGCCTTTTTTTTTTTTTAAAGAAATGAGAGGAACCATTAAAGTACATTCCTGAAATTCTAATTCTATTCCTTTTAATCCAGACTGTTTTAGCCTTGATTCTATATAAGAGTTAAATCCAAACAACCAAAATGAAAAAGGACTTTTCTCTGTGGTTAATATTCTTCCATCTGTGCTCTCCCTTCAACTGAGGCTATGCCTTTCTGAGCAGTTTCTCAAGGAAACGGATGTGCCATCCCCATAGTGATGGTCTCTACCTTTTACTTCGGCCTACCTTTGGGGAACTCCTCCAATCAATTGTTTTGTTCTGACATTCTCCTGAACCAGTTATAGATGGCTTGTTCTCCATAGAATTATTTTTATTAACATTATTTTTCATTCACCCTTCGATAAGATGTCTGGACCTAAAGATTCTTAGCAATTCAGGGTATGTGGATTTTTCTCAGCTTTACTCTTTGTTTGCTTGAGTTTTAGCTTAATCCTCTTTTCAGATACATAGCTGTGTATTAAGTCTGGACATTATTTTAGTATTTAGCGTGTTTTTATGTAATGTAGCTCTTTAGTTCTAAAAAGACACCTTCTTATCCCCTGCTGGCTGATTCCCTAATAATCTGAAGAGAGCATTTGCAGAACTATAATCTCTAGTATGTACTCATGATCTGACATCAGACCACACAATTTCCTGGGATCTGAAATCTTTGAATGAATGAAGGATGTGCCAGTACAGATTTGGGCAGTTCCCATCCTTTGAATAGCAGCAGTCCCTGTGACAGCTCTTCAGTTTCCTGTTTGTTACAGATCTGGGTTTCTGAAGGAATGTTTAGAGGGAGGACGGCTTTCTCTCTTTTCAGGTATGCCGACCTCGTTATGTTTCTAAGCACAGGTGGCACGTGAGTTAGACATTGCAGTCTGGTTCTGTGAGCCCGGAGGAAGGAGACATGGCTTTTACATTCTGGTAATGAAGAGCTGGAACTGTCAGTGACAGATGCTGTTTATAACCAGATGTTAGAATTGGTTCTTAAAACATTTATTCTTACTATTTGTATATTCCCTCACATAACTTAGTTCAAAATTTTCTCTGATATAAATTCTCTTTGGGAGATATTTTTAGAAAATAGCTTTAAAAATGTCTAGTTTATTTGTATTTGGAAGTTGTTCAACGAGAATAAATCTCCCTTCATTATATCCTTTAATTTAGTTAAAAGAAAGCTTGGAACAGTCAATAGGCCAACTGCGAAGTCAACGTTTATTGAGAAGCTCAGGAGGGAGAAGTATTTCTGTTACAAGTCTGAGTGCAAGTGACTTTGATGGTGGCACTGTGACAGGTAAACTCTACAGATGTTCTGAAAACCTTTTTTCATTAAAAAAATTTCTGAAGTACATAGTGAATATGTTTAATCTTTGGGTATGTATAATCCACACATAAAATCATACAAATAAGTATTAAAAGATGCAGTCAAGGATTTTGTAGTGAATATTTAAAAACATGTTTACTAGCACTCTGTTGTTATGAGTCTTACTTTTGGTGTTTGGACTCTGCAGACCAGGGGTCCCCAATCCTGGGGCCGTGGACTGGTACCAGTCTGTGGTCTGTTAGGAACTGGGTAACATATTAGGAGGTGATCAGCCGGCCAGCCAGTGAAGCTTTGCTCGAATTGCCGCCTGAGTTCCGCCTCCTGTCCTTCTCCTCCTTACCCCTGTCTGTGGAAGAATTGTCTTTTACAAAACTGGTCCCTGGTGCCAAAAAGGTTGGGGACCGCTGCCGTGGACCACACAGAGCTTTATCTGACAAAACTTAGATTTAAGCACCTGCCATTAAAACAAACACAAAAATGGGATATACTATGTGTACATTTTCTAGATTAGAAGTCCAAAGTTTCATAGTTTTTCAAATATCTGATGATTATAAAATATCCTATGTCACTTGTTAAGAACAGGTAAACTTTATCTTTGGCATGCAGCTAGAATCCAATGGCTAGCTGAAAGATAAAAACACTAGTTTGCCTGTAATCAATCATACTTTTACTTATCTGCAGCACTGAGGTTTGTGTATGACTAAAAAAGACTCAGAACAGTACAGAACAGGAAAATCTGCAGTGAAGAGAGGGGATTCAGACAGAGTGAACACTAGCAGCTTGCATCGTTAGTATCGCTATTGATCATGATGATAAGGATTACAAATTGGACACAATCAGCTCTTTTGTACGTAATTAGTTTTTATTGATTTTTAAATGCCATTTATAATTTGATTGATTTATTGTTTGAAAAATTCTGTTAGTATTACTTTAGGGAGTCATAAAAGTTATTTTTATTTAGTTATTTTTATATAAGAAAATATATGGCTTCTTTGAAAAGTATAGCAAATGATAACTTTTCGCATGTTCTAATTCCAGCTTACTTCTGTTCATTTATCAGCTTGAAGAGCAAGATTGGTGCCAATTTTGTAGAGTGTAATGGCCACTGTAACATGCCGGGGACACAGTCTGGGGTGCGGGCACTTGTGTACATGCGTGTTTGCTCTGTGTTTACTGGGTAACGTTTTAGATGGTTTCCTCTCACGCAGTGTTTTTATCCTCTTCCTTTTCCTTCATTTGTAAAGAGAGCCACCGTTTTCCACCTACCTCACCTCTGAAGGACTATGGGGACCAACAGGGTAGTAAACGAATTAGATCCAGAGCTGGTGTCCGATTTGTTCGAGAGACTGATGACGTGGGCCAGGTACTTTGTGCCAGTTTGTAACCTGTATTCCTTACGTTTCTATATAAGTGACTGACACTTGAATTTCATGGCTGTATGCTAACCATGAGCTTCATCATCAGTACTTTGTACAGATATCTTAAAAACCAAGTACACTGTTTTATTTTCAACGTGCTAATCATCATCATGTGTTTAGAATTTTGTTGTGGAGGATTATATTTTGTAGAACAATTTTAAGTGAGTTTACTTGACTATGTTGTGTTCACTTGTTCGGGTGGCTCACTCTTCTGTAAGCCTTGCTGAGTCAGCTACTTTCTGTTTTGCTAAGTGTGGTTTAGTATGAACAAGTTCGTCCTTGCATGGTTAACCTATTGATTTTTCCACTTGTGTTTTTCTGGTTGTTGAATCATCACTGGAGCCATTTTCTATTAAATGAAAAATTCCATCTTTTTTTCTATGTATTCACTAAGGATTTCAGAAGTATTCTGTGGACATTTTTCTTTTTCTGTTTCTTTAAATTTCTCAGCAAGAGCTGAACAGACATTGTTGTTGCCTGGGGTAACTAAATTAGTTAAGGTCTAGGGGATATCGTTGACTTTGACCTCTTTGATTCAGTAGTTTTAGAACTCAGGGTTCAAAGTTTGTAAGGATACTCATCTGTAGCTTTCACTTGTTACAGCATAAGATAAAGAGATAACAGAACCAAGTGCATTAGAAGGCACCTTGTAGAAACGTTTCCTTGACTATGTTATTTTTTTGGTTGTTGTAACTTGCTAGCATGAACAATAGGATAAAACCTAGAGCAGGGAACAATATCCTACTCAGTCACTGTCTCCTTGTATTAGTTTAGTTCTTCTCTCCTGGGAAAGGGCTTGGAAACAGTAATGAGCAAAAACTTTGCCTTTTCTAGGAATTTATCATCTAGAGTAGGAGCTAGATATTAATCAAATAAGGGTATAAACACACCCTTAATTATGTGCAGAGATGCATGCTCTAAGAGAAAGAAGCACAGGCTACAGGAATATGTAGCAGAGGGACTTGCTCCACTCAGGGAAGGCTTCTTGAAGAAGCAATGGCTGATGAACTGAGATATAAAGGTTGAGTAAGAGGCATTCAAGGTAGATCAAATACCTTGGCAGGAAGGAGAATACGCCTATGAGTAAATTAAAGAAGGCCATGTAGCTAAAGAAATATGAAATACTGAGTCCATGCACAGCCTTGTAAGGGAGTGACAACTATTTTGAGAAAATCACCCTGGCTCCTGTGCAGAAAATGGAGAGCCAGAGTGGGCAAACCATTGGGAAGATACTGCTGTATTCCGGGTGTGAGATGCTGGTCACTTGGATTGGGAGAAATGGAGTTTGAAAGAAGAGGGATAGATTTGAAAACTATATGGGGGATGAAATGAAAGGTCTTGAAGATTAGATGACTATTTGGGGAGGGTGGGAATGAGTGAAATGGGGGAGTCCATGCTCAATCCTAGCATTCTGGTGTACAAAATGGGAAATCGTGATGGGAATCGTGAAGACCCAAGGGAATGGTCTGTTGTTCACCCACTGTTTTACCTGCACTCTTGTCCCTTTAATCATTCTTCTCTATTTTATTTTCTTGAGATGGCCTTAACTTCATGTGACTGTGTGCTTGTTAATGCCCCAGGGCCACCTTTGTGGTTTTGTTAACTTCTCTGTCTCCCGTGTTAAATCCCGAGCCACGTGTTTCCCAGCCCTGCTGTTGACACTGGTTGCTCAATGTGCATTTGTTGAAGCGAACCAGTTTATTGTGCCTGCAAGTCTATATAACTGAAAATCTTTTATTATAAATTATAGCATATATATACATATACAGAAATATGTTTATAATTTAAAGTACAACAATGTGAATGAAAATTCATGTAACCACCATCCAGGCCAAGAAATAAATCATTATTATACGCCCAGAGCCTCTTTCCTATTCCTTCTTTCTCCAGGTGCTATCAGCTGTCTTGATGTTTATGTTAATCATTATCTTGCTTTTTTTTTAAAAAAAGTCTTTTTTTACTACTAACGTTTAGTATTACCTGATTTTAAACTTTATATAATTGCAATAATATTGTAGACTTTCATAACTTGCTTTTTCCATTCGATGTCATGTTTTTGACATTCATCGTTATAATGTGTAGGTAGTTTTGATCATTTCATTTTGACTGCTGTGTGAGGTGCAACTGCCGGAATATCCTGCAGTTTATTTATTTCCATTGTGTTCTTAATGGGTTTTTGTTTTCAGTGTTCTCATGGTGAACAACACTGCCCCAAACATTCTTTTACATGGCTCTTGGTTCAGGTGGTCAGGAGTTCTCTGCAGCGTGGACGGGCACACTGCAGTGTGTGGTCTACGTGCATAAAGTTCTGTTCTGACACAGTCATGTTAATTTGGTTATGGCTACTTTTGTGCTATAATAGAAGGGTTGAACGATTGTGGTAGAGACCATATAGCTCGAAAACCTGGAATATTTGCTATTGTACTCTTTACAAAAAGCTTTGCTGATCCCTTTTCTAGGGTAGCTATATGGAGTAGAATTATAGTACTGTGGAGATGTGTTGGTTAATGTTACATATTTAAAAAAATGTTTTTTGGAAAATATATTTTAATATATTTAGAGTAGACATTAGTTTTATTCAGTATGAATAATATTATGAAATTTGGGCATTATTACAAGGAGCAAATTTTTATTCTTACCTTCAGTGAATCTTTATGGATGAATTCCATGGAACCCTAAATGGGTGTCTGTGTTTTGCCTTTTCTAGCTTCATGCTTTCCATCAGTCCCTCCGAGACCTCAGCAGTGAACAAGTTCGCCTCGGAGACGATTTCAACCGGGAAATTGCCAGAAGAAGCAGGTAAAAGCAAAATCTGGTTTTCACTGAAGGCGTGAATTATTAGGAGAATAAAATAGGTTCTATAATTGACATGTTTACATGAATTAAAAAAACTGTACTGTGTTTTTATAGCAGTATTTTAAAATTTATTACTAGAATAGCTCAAGACCCTTTGAATTTATAATGTATTATGACTCAATGTTAAGACATTAATTTCACATTTTTAAAAACACTAACTTATTACAGTGGCTAACACTGCAGAGACATATATGGTAAGATCTTAGCAAAGAGGTAGATTTATAGATACATTGGAGCGAGAGACAGACAGACACAGAGACCACCTGATTGACAATGGAGCTTGAAAATAAAAGGCACATTGTCGAATCTGTTGAGTGATGGACATAACCCATTGTAGAATTTGATATTTTAGCTTTTAGTTGAAATCTTCAAAAGCCAGTGTTTATATCTGTTCAGTCTTTGCAATGTTTTTCAGTTCTGGGTAGTCCCTAAGAAGTATCATTTTATTTAATATTTCTTCATTGTCTTTTTATTTTTATCATGAGCCATGACAGTTGGCTTTCATTTGGGGGCCATCTTTTTACACAAAACAAAGATTTTATATTCCTTCTCAAGGGTCACAATCTGTGTGCAGCAATGACTGTGGCACAGTGCAGCCGAGTTGAAATTTGTTCACAAGTTCACATGCTGACTCCTGCTCCAGCTAATGAAATCATCCTACACACCAATTTGGTGTTGCTGTAGCAAAAGAATCAAAACTAAAACTGTTAAATCTATGGCTGCAAACTACTGTCTGTGTAACTTAACTACTTTTATATGAAGAAGGCAGGGAATTCAGTAATAAGAAGTAAAGACCTAACTAATGCTATTATTACTGCTACTACTGGTTAATATTATCGAGCACCTATTTCATGCCAGATAGCTTTAGGTTTAATTCTAGGAACAACCCTAATGAGGTGGTCATTATTATTTTCTCCATTTTTTTGGTGTGAAAATTTGCACAGAGAGATGGAATAACTCAGTTTCCTAGAGATGAAACAGGGGGACATGATGGAGTCAGAATTCAAATCCAGGCAGGAAGACCCCACAGTGCTCTTTCCACTGTGACAATATCGTGTTCATATGCACCTGATATAAATAAGGCATTTAAATTCCTGCATTTTGAGCTATATCATTGAGTTACATTTTAAGTCTTTTATACTGATAAGGGTTAGTTAATTTAATACATATTTCTTCTTGAGAAGTTGGTAAAGTCAACAGAATGGCATCAATATCCCGAGACAATGTGTTCCTGGAGTGGCTTTATTATGTAGCTTTTACGTACTTGAAGGAAGTGTATAAATTAAGCACTAGGAACATGAGTTTAGGAAATGGTTGTCCTGTAAGAAGATATAGGGGAAGTTGCAGGGATGACTTAGTTGATTAGTTTAAATGGACATTTACATGTGCAATGGTGGACTGGAAATATTCTGATCCATAGGCTGGTACCATTTAGTAATCGTTTAGTGACCTGTCAGTATGTATGAAGAAGAGAAACATTATTTAACCCAACATAGGCGTCAAGTTTCTTGTGAAACCTGGTGGCTTAACTTTATGGATGAGGAAGATTTTAGGATCCTAATCTGCTTTACTTCTAAAATTTTTTTGCAAGTTTTCAGTTCATGTTTATAAAAATATCTTGGAGGGAAGTTGCTAGGTTTAACTTTCTGTGTGATTCAAAAAGGTTGATATGCTCATTTTATTATTACTTTTTAAATTTTCTTGACATCTATTGTAAAAAGTCCACTGGGAAGCAAGTTTTTAGAAAGGAATAAATAAGGTTTCAGTCAGAATTCACCTACTTTGGTTGCCATATGGAGAACTGATTCGAGGAGGGGAAATTAGAAGACTAGAGATTTTAAGAGTGGTCAGCACAGAGCAGTGTATTGGAGCCATGGCAGTGGAGGGTATTTAGGATCCTAATCTGCTTTTAGTGGAGGGCAGTGGTGAGAGCCTCAAGGACAGGGCTGAAAGCTGAGGCGCTGCACTACATGGAAGTCATTACAAAGAGGAACTGGGCTGAGAAGGAACGGCTAGTGAGTAGGGAATCCAGGAGCGCATGGAGCCGTGAAAGCCAAGAAAGAGGTACAAGTACAGACATTTTCAGAGATACAAAGATTTAGAAAATTTATAGATCCAATGCAGTCCCTATTAAAACACCAATGACATACTTCACAGATATAGAACAAACATTTCAAAAATTTATATGAAGCCATAAATGACCCCAAGTAGCCTCAGTAATTTTGAGAATGAAGAACAAAGTAGGAAGGATCACAATACCTGATATGAAACTGTATTACAAGGCCACTGTAATCAAAAGTCTGCTATTGGCATAAGAACAGACACATAGATCAATGAAACAGAACAGAGAGCACAGAAATAAATCCATGTCTCTATGGTCAATTAATATTCAACAAAGCGGGCAGGAGCATAAAATAGAGTAAAAATAGCCTCTTCAACAAATGATGTTGAGAGATCTGGACAGGTACATGCAAAAACATAAAACTTGACCACCAACTTACACCATACACAAAAATAAACTCAAGATGGATAAAAAACTTAAATATACATTGCAACACCATAAAAGTTCTAGCGGAGAACATAGGCAGGAAAATCTGATATTCCGTGCAGCAGTGTTTTCACCGATATGTCCCCTAGAGCAAGGGATATAAAGGAAAGAATAAACAAGTGGGACTACATCAAATTAAAAAGCTTTTGTATGACTAAAGAAAAGAGCAAAATGAAAAGGGAACCAACTGTATGGGAAAATACATTTGCCAGTGATACCTTGGGCAAGGGTTTGATCTCCAAAATATATAAAGAACTCACATGACTACACCAGGAAGATAACCCAGTTGAAAAATAGGCAAAGGACTGGAACAGACACTTCTCCATGGAGGACATACAGATGCCCCAGAGACATATGAAAAGTTGCTGAGCATCACTAGCCATCAGAGAGATGCAAATTAAAACCACAGTGAGATGCCACTTCACACCGGTTGGAATGGCCATCATAAACAAAGCAACAAACAACAAGTACTGGCGAGATTGTGGAGAAAAGGGAACCCTAGTGCACTGTTGGTGGGAATGTGGACTGGTACAGTCACAGTGGAAAACATAGAATTTCCTCCAAAAACTAAAAATGGAACTGCCTTTGACCCAGCAATTCCACTGCTGGGAGTATGCCTAAGGACCTTGAAACAACAATTCAGAAGAACCCATGCACCCCAATGTTCATAGCAGTGCACTTTACAATAGCCAAGTGCTGGAAACAGCCTAAGTGTCCATCAGTAAATGAATGGATCAAAAAACTGTGGTACATTTACACAATGGAATTCTATGCCCATAAAGAAAGAAGGATCTGCTACCTTTCATGACAGCGTGGATGGGACTGGAGAGCATTATACTAAGTGAAATAAGCCAGGCAGAGAAAGACAGATACTTTATGATCTCACTTGTAAGTGGAACCTAATCAACAAAACAAACAAGTAAGCAAAATAGAACCAGATACATGGAAATAAAGAACAAACTGACAGTAACCAGAGGAGAGAGAGAAGGGTGATAATGGGGGAAAAAAGGGGAGGCGTCATGGAGGAACCTACATAAAGGGCCCATGGACAATGACACTGGGGGGCTGGGATTGAAGGTGGGAGGTGGGGGTGGGTAGTGCAGGGGAGAGTAATGGGGGGAATGGGGACAACTGTAATTGCTTTGCAATTACAAAAAACTGGGGGAAAAGACTTAGAAAATTTACTCTTTAAGGTATTGGGGGAAATCCCCAGAAGTCTAAATTCAGGATCAGTTCTGAAGAACTGACAAATTCTCACATTCATGAGAGCTTTATTAGGAGAAACTTTCATGCATGGGAAGACAGCTGCTCCCAGTGTTAGCCTGCTGGGAAGAACCCACATCCCTCACAGGACAGGGTTCCTTTTCCTAGGGGTTAATAGTAAAACCATGTGGTGCGTAGTCAGTAAACCACCAGAAAGAGCAATGCATTCTTAAGTTAACAGACAGCGCCAGACGGTTATAGTCTGTGCATTTACTAACCTCCTTCCTGGGGCGTGACGTTCATCTTTGGGTGGCATTCTGGTTTTCTGGGTAGTCAGCTAAGCCTCAGGCTACAGAGAGTGAACAGTTCAACATTTCCCGGATGCCTTTGCTGCTGGAGCCATATTGTATCTCAGTGAATCCCCTACGTAAGATAACTTCTTTCTGAGGAAATTATCTAAGGACATATAAGTAAAATAGGTGGTAACCAAGAAAGAGGAACATATAGGTTATAAAAGTTAGTAAAACTAACCCAGAAATTCAGTGAAAATATTCCCCAGAATGATAGCCACTTAGCATGCTCAGGAACTATTCACTGAATTAGAGAAGGAAGTGTCATTGAGAATAATCTAGTTGAACGGAGTTGACTCTTAATAAATGATTCAGTAACAAGTGGGAGAAAAGTATCAATGATGTGATAAATAAGACCCATATAAGACACAAAAGATGAGAAACTTTAGAAAAAAAAACTAAAGCACAAGAACATTAATGATCCAACTAAGAAGCTGACTAAAATGTGAGCATGACAGAATGAGCAAAAAGCATCGATTCTCTGTGGTGGAATACTTGATAAGAGGTGTAGTAAGTATATCATGCAAGTCACACAGATAACTGATAAAAATAACAATGCATCCATCCAAAATTGGACTGGAGTGTGAGTGAGCTAAATACAGGGCCCAGCACAAATGACCCCCTTTTATTACAAAATCTTTTATTATGAAATCATAAGCATGTAATTGTGTAACATAACACTATTACACTCAAGCACACCACAAGACATTTTAGGTGAAATGTTCAAATTGCTGTCCATCTCATGTGAGACATTCACGTACCCTGCCAACCACACTCAAGCGAGCCTTACCTCTCTCTGCCAGACCCTGTATTGCAAAACAGGCAGTCAGTTGAAAGTGTCTGGAATTGAACATGATGGGAGTAACCAACAAAAGAATGGAAACGGTTTGGTATGGTTGCCAGTGGGGTATGGACTTGAGGGAAGGAAGTGTGAGAGAGGAAGGCCTTTGATTTTCTTTGTAAGTCTTTCTGTACTATTATACTGTTGATCCCATATGTTATTAATTTGGTGGGGGAAAGGTAATGGGAGATACATTAGTGAGAGCCGAGTTTGTAACAGCATACCCTGATGTAACCTGATTATGAACTGCTGGAGAATTGCTGGAGAGGATGTGAGATTAAGAGTTTTGTTCTCCCTCCTTTCTCTTCCTTCTTAATTTAAAACGGAAGACATTGCAGCCTATTTGTTTATTGAAGGTGATGTTCCCATACAGCAGTGGTTCTCAAGGTGTAGTCTCCAGACATGTAGCATTAGCATCACCTAGGAAGTTCTAGAAATGCATGTTCTTGGGCCCGACTGCAGAATTAGATTCTGAAGTTTTGGGCGTTGGGTTCATCACTCTGTGTTTTTAACAAGCTCTCCAGGTATTTCATAGTTTGCTAACGTTTGATAACTACTGCAATATTATGTAATAATATTATTCCGTTGTAAATTTTTTAATTGTATCGATTTTTTCAAATAGCCAAATTAAAATATTTGTCTTTATTGCCTAGGTTGGATGCTGAAACAAAAAGGGCTTTGGAAAAATTGACTGAGAAGCTCAGTGAAACCCAAAAACAAGAAACGGTGAGAACTCTTTGTTTATAAAAAGCTCTGTTTCGCATGTAGATGGTTGAGAGGGGGGCTGGGCTCATTGCACCCCCAGTGCAGTTTAGTAAATTTTAACTCTTTCAGCGGAAATGTTCATGAATTGTGAGTGTTTAAGTTTTAAATATTTACAGTGGTAGCATCTTAGAGAAAGACATAATTTGTTTTAGTTTTTTAGAGTTTTATTATGAATAATTTAAATTTTATTCACTCAGTCATTCCTTTATAGCTTTTGGTAAATGATTTTTGAGAAATACAGAATTTGTGGGTAACGGCTCTGTAGCACTCCATTCTGTATTTGAGGTCATCTTACCGAATTGCATACGCAGTTGTTACAGAGACCTCCATGCTGTCCGTCTCGGTTTTAGATAGTACTGATTGGAAATACCCCAAGTTCTGAAGTTTTCTTTTTTCGCACTCAGATTGTTCACACTGATGATACAGTGAGTTCTTTTTACAGATGACTATTCTTGGTGGAATTAATGTTAAAAAATAACATACAGGATCCATTTCTTTGTATAATCTGTGTTTTTGTTTTTTTAAGAGAAAAAATATTCTCACAAAACTGTTGCGAATTTGTCAACTTCAGGGACAATGTCTATTCATTGATTTCCCACAATACCTTTTGTTTTTTCAAGACAAAAATATTAGTAGATTATTTTTCCTTAACATTTTATTCAGATTGGAAGTTTCTCAGTAAAAGCAGATAATTTTTCTCCAGTTGTTAATTGTGTTTACAGGTCCTTACACAGACATGTTAAGGTTTTTCTGGACCCTGAGTTTGAGTTTGTTGGCTGCATCTGCTAAGAGGTGGATAGGTTGCATTATCAGGGATCATCTCAGTCACTGCCTATTTCAAAATGAGAATAAACACCTGACCACGTAAACGCACCTTCCTCTTGAGTTTTTAGTGCTGACTTCTTTGTGGTGTGCCCAGAGAGGTGAAGACACAGTGCCTGTCTTCCCCTGCAGTAGACAAGTGTTTTCAGTTAGTGCGTGATGGTGTGGCGTCTACTATGTGATCAGCACATGGGGTACTTATTTTTTTTTATTTTACATGAAGTCCTAGATTTTCCCAGACACACCAAGGTCACCTTTGATTTACACTGGACCTGTCTAAAATATCTAAAATATCATATACTTGTAATGAAGGGTTTTTTTTTTTTAGATTAATAGATTGGTGACTTTCTTAACTGCAGTGGTTCACCCAGGAAGAAATTTATACTATTCCCAGTTTTATGTACTATCTCAACAGGAGCTGAATGCACACTTTCTTTTCTTTTTTTTTTTTAAAGATTTTATTTTTATTTATATTTCGAGAGAGGAGAAGGGAAGGAGAGAAACATCAATGTGTGGTTGCCTCTCGTGTGCCCCCAAGTGGGGACTTGGCCTGCAACCAAGGCATGTGCCCTGACTGGGAATCAAACCAGTGACCCTTTGGTTCGCAGCCCGTGCTCAATAAACTGAGCTATGCCAGCCAAAGCTTGAATGCACACTTTCAAGAATGTAGCTCTAAGGTCCTGTATACCTTAGTAAATGATATTCTGGCTCTTTTCATAAATTCTAGAGTGAAATCTGTTACTTGACAATGGAAATTGCTGAAGTTTTTTTCTTTTCTTTTTTTAAAATTTTTAAAATTTGGAGGTATAATGCACAATCATAATACATATATCAATGTATATCTTGATTAATTATTGCAAGGTGAACTACCCAGGTGGCCACCACTCACATCTAGAACTAGAACATTACCAGCACACAAGAAGCCTCCTTATTTCCCCTCCCCATCAGTAACTCTTTCCTGTTTAAAGGGGACTATAATTTTAACTTTTAACTCTGTAGATTGCTTTTGCCTGTTTTAGACTTCATTAAAGGCAGTCATTCAGGACATGGATTCATGTGTGTGTGTTTGTATGTGTGTGTGTCTGGCTTATTTTGCTAAACATTATGATTGTGATATTTCTGGGTATTTTGTCATGTATTTGCAGTTGGTTCATTTTTTATTGCTCCTTAGTATTCTATTGTATAATATACTGTAATATATTGTGAAATTATATGAAGGATATTTGAATTATTTCAAATTTTGGGCTGTTCTGAATAATGCTGTGGTGGCCGATCTTACTATTTCAGTGCATCTGCTCATGCGTCTCTGTTGTTACATCACATGGAGTGTGATTGCTGGGTGCCTTCCAATTTAGCAGGTTTTGATAGACAGGTTTTCAAAGTGGCTGCACTAATTTACACTCTTACTATCAGTGTGTGAGAATTTGTGTTGCTTTCACCCTTTCTGACACTGATACTATTTAACCTTTCAGTGATAGCCATTATGTTGGTTATTTATGGTATCTTATCATGGTTTTAATTTGCATTTTCATGATTACTAAAGATGAAGAGCATTTTTTTATATGTTTGTTGGCTATTGGCTATTTTCTCTTTTGAAATACTAGTTTGCTCTTTTGCCCAGTCTTTTATCGGGTTGCCTGTCTTTTCATTATTAATTTGTGGGAGGTCTTTTTATATCTTGTATATGAGCACTTTGTTCATTATATGTACTGCAAATACTATCTCTCATTCTAAAACTGTTTCTTCTCATTTTTAAACTCTGTTAATGGTATCTTCTGTTGCTGACCGAAAATATATGTAATTCTCTGCAAAAAAAAGGTTGCTTAGATAATTTGATAATTATTATGTATGAAAGGATATACTTGCTTTTTTTTATAGGTTAGAGGCCATAGCAATTATGGATCACCTTATCATTTGTTGTTGAGATATTTCCTTAAAGATTTTATTTATTCACTTTTTGAGAGAGGGGAAGGGAGGGAGAAAGAGAGGGTGAGAAACATCATTGTGAGAGAGAAACATCTTATTGCCTGCCTTTTGCATGTGCCCCAACCTGGACCAGACCTGCAAACCAGACATGTTCTCTTACCGGAAATTGAACCAACAACCTTTTGCTTTGCTGACCTACACCCAACCAACTGAGCCGCACCAGTCAGGGCTGTTGTTGACCTATTTCAATGTTAAACTTCAGTGCCAGATTTTAAGTATTTCTGGTCCACCTGTGCTGTTAGTGTATCGAACTTCAGGATCCCAATGCGGAGGCTAGGGCCTGGGTTGGGGGAAGTTCAGCCAGGGAGCCCCTTCCTTGGAAAGGCTCTCAACTTCAGTTTTTAACCCTTGGACCCCACGTATTGGTTCAAAACTGTTTAGCTTCTCAGTGTCTCAGCTGCCATTTGTTAAGTGGGCTGATGTTTAAGGGAGAAAGTGGCCTAAAATATGGACCAGTCTCTCTGAATTTCTTTCTTCTCTTGTATTTGGTCTCATATGTCTTTACTTCTTTTTAGTTTTCCAGACTTATTTGAAATATTATTTCTAGCTTTTTAAGTTATTTTCATTGGAATGGTTGGTCTGAATTATTTAGTCTGTCATTTTTGGAAGTGAAACTGCCTCAGTCTTTTTGTATATATCATATTTCATTACCGTGTTTGCTATTTCTAATGCATAAAATTTGAGAGGTTTCCAGCTGTTGTACGAGGCCTCTTTTGCTTGCTACATAGGTATGCAGCGGGTGAGCATGCTCGTAACAAGGTTTTTGACCCAGGCTTGAATATCCTCAGAGTTCTGCCGAGGTCTTTGTAGACCCGAGAAGCTATGGGCATGTCTAGCTGAACTGTCATGCTGTCTTTTTGACATTGTTAGATATTTGGGATGGTTTGAGTTAGAGTTTGAAAGTGCTAATTTGCCTAGTACACATTACATTTGTTCTGTTTTACCTAGCTAGCAAGTACTATCTGCACAGTCATTCTAGAATGTTAAAATGCAGTTCTAAAGTGTAACCACTGACCTAAAAGTTAAAGATAATGTAAAGAAAGCCAGAGTTCTTTCATGTCAACATTACTGTTGATCATAATTACTGCACATCAGGTAAAGCTATGATTGCACAACCGATGTCACACCTCACTAGCTCACTGCTCACTGGTGTAATTGGTGTGTACACCTTGCTAGTTTACTATCCCGTGTAGGGAACTGTTTCTCGAGACATGGAAATATAGCCCAGCACACACATGGAAAACCAGTGTGGGGCGTGGTGGCACATAATACCATACCTGTGAAGAAGTTCTCCTGTGGGAAATCAGGCCTGCATCATACCTGGGTTGCTTTGTGACTTGCTCTTGCTAAAACTCTTTCACCCTGAGTTCAGGCAGAAAGACTGTGCTGCATATCTTTAAAGTAACTTCCTGAAGTCTGTTAATTCTCCCCAAGGATTGAAGTGTAACCAGAGCTGTTACTCTTATTGTTCTCTTGCATTTGCAACATTTTTCCACACCCTTGACAATAATCTATAATGGCTGAACCCTAAAAACTGGTTTGATTGACTGAATTTACAAGTTTGGGTCCTAGTAGCCCTTGGGTACCTCCTTATCTTAGTCCTTATTGTGCTTTACATTGTTTATGGAAGTTGTTTTTTTAAGATTGCATTCAGGAACAGCAAATAGTATGTTTCACAGGATTAACAACTACAGTTGATTTTACAAACAAAAAAAGGGGAGATGTAGGGCAGCACCCACCACCAGCATTGTTTCAGGCTTAAGGCATAGTTTCAGGCTTAAGTCAGGCAGGGGAAGTAGGCAGCCAAGAGATTAGGAGTTTTCTTGCAGACAGAACAAGGATTCGGGCTATGTCAAAGCTGAGGGGCGAGGTCCATCACCCCCTTTTGCTATAGCCCCCAAGCCCTTCCCTGGGCCCCCTGTGATCATGCCTGTCTTAGTTTGTCCCCCCCTTGAGGAATCTTACTTGGCATTGGATAACCGATCAAGCATTGGGGCCCAGACAGGGTGAAGTAAAAGGAGCAGAGGCCATGTGCCTGCCAGGGAGATAAGCTTTGTCTCCTTAGTGGCATATGGTTCGAAGGTCATTCACTCAGCCTTAGCCATGGGGGGTTACAGCTTCTGAAACCAGGCAGGGCGGTTCCCAACAGTTCA